ATGCTTTGACTTGTTCAATATGACAATGCTTGACACTTTGTTGGTTTTGATCATTTTTCACCATGGTTATGATATTGAGCTTCTCTTAGATGTTTTCCATGGTTAGTTGTCTTTGATCATGTTATTTCTCTTCTAATTATTCCTTGTTGCTCTTGATGCAATGATCTTGCCACTTTGATATGACATCACTCTTCTTGTGTGGCTACATCATACATTTTCAATATCCACATATGGTTGATGCTTTTTGCTCTTGATCAAATGATCTTGCCTTTTTGTTGTTGCCACTTTGTTATCATCAAAACATACATTGTATCTACACTTCTTATATCCCAAAAAGTAGTGTTAAGCTTTTTGTCTCTTGTGGTCCCCACTTCCACTCAGTTGTAAGTTGTAACTAACTTGTCATATTATTCACTCTCCTTTTCTTTTACAAAACATAAGAGATAATGTCACATTCTATTCAAAATGAACCATTTTGCACTATTTTAAGAATAACATAGTCGTAAGTATTTTTTTTTTATCAAAAATAACATTCATTCCCTGTGTATTTCACCTATTAATCATATCTTTGCACTAATTATAAAAGCATCCAAACATCTGCCAATTGAGATTCTGGTTTCCAAGACTTAATTATCATATTGTCCATATCAACTTCTAGCATTTTTTCAATTTGGTCTTGGACTTAACTATTATATCGCCCATAAGCTTTCTTCACCATTACTATATTCGATTGTCATGTCACATATCCCACTCCCCAATGAACCCGACTTCGGGCAATTCTTTTACTATTTCTTCCATTATCTTCCTTCTTTCCAAGCACAATTTCCTTTTCTTTTGGGCTATGGTTGAATAGTCATCATTTGTGAAAGTGGTGGGAGGTTCCCGTCTTTCATCATTCCCATATGAATCTGGTTATTCCCATGTGCCAAACTTCTTCATGGTTTGGTGGGTTGGGATCTTGCTTTTGCTCCTTATTATTCCCACTGAATTCTTTCTGTCCATCCTTAGAGGGGCTTTGGCTTTTATCAGGCCTCTTTCTTCCTTTATTCTTAGGTCCTTCAGACTTTGAACTTCCTCATTTAATATACTTGTATTGTATCCCTAAGATTATAACAGTCATACGTTGCATGTCCACAGCATATATAGAAGTCGCACCACTTGCTTTTGTCCATTTGAACATGCACTGATTGGATGAGAGATAGCTTTTCCATGCTGCGGGACTCTACGTTCATGAGTTCTTGGAGAATTTAAGCTTTGGATGTGTTAAGGTGGGTATACCCCTTTTGGCCGGAGTGACCTGACCTCCCTCCAAGGACGCCTAGTTTGCTGAGATTATCATCTCACCTCGCGTTATGGGGATTACCATTTCAGGTACAGTAGCTGATGGTGCCGCGACATCGGTCAACAAGAGGCCGGAGGAGAGATACTATCTGACATGATAGTCATGGCTTGGACTGCTATTTTGATATGTACATGACATATTATTATTTTGAGTTATATATGTCATGTTATTTTTTGAAGAGCATAGGAGATGTCTATACCATGTTGATAGTCTGTATATGTTATCTATGATGACTGCACAATTCTATGTTACTTATTTAATTACATCTCTTTTGTGTAGTTGATGTAATCATGTAAGTAACATTATGGACATTGGTTTGGAGAACTAGTATTTAAGTGATAGCCTATGCCATGGATGGCTGGTTAATATGATGTATGCTTAAATTATATTAAACTGTTAATCAGGTTGGAATTGTCATGGTGAAAATTATCTCCAGTGGTCCAAAATACAAACAAAATGCCATCCGTTTTATTTTGACCAAAGAGGCGATAGAAGTTGCAATACATAAGGAAAAGGAAAAAGTTAATCATGTTTTTATACTAGGTTTAGTCTAGTGATTTAGGAAAAGAGCTTCTGCGTTTAATTATGTAAACATGTTGTGCTTATTACCATATGTATGTTAATACACCAGGTGCACACGGGGAGTTACACTCACAATGACTATCTTGGCTTCTGCCTTACTCCACACAATCCGCACAAAGCATCCGTGGTTTTTGGCTATGGTCCACAATTGGTGAACTGTTGTATGAAGAGGTTGGCTAAGTTGGCCCAGCTATCCACTAAATTAGCAGGTAACAATGTATTCCACTCTAGCGCCTGTTTCCTTTGAAATACTGAAAATGTCTTGCATAAGAGGGAATTTGTCTCCCCGTATAAGGATATAGTCGCCCTGAATATGGTGACAAATTTAATGGGGTCTGAACTTCCTTCATATGTTTTTAAGTCTACTATGTGTCACAACCAAGATAGAATTGGCATTGCCTTAAGTCACCATGAACCTTCTTGGTCTTGCCTTCTAGGTTCATCGTGTTTGTACGAATATTCTCGGGTAAGTATAACTAGGAAGTCATGTGGAGAAGCCACTACTCGCCCATTCCAAGGTTCCATTTCCCGCTGATAGAGATGTGTCCCGTTTCCTTCGGGCTAATGCTGGTTTTGACCTTAGGCATGGTAATGGTGATCGACATAGTAATGTTGATGGTTTGATGGTATGAATCAGGGGTGCTTGTGTAAACACATAGAGCTAATTTGTGCTCTGGAAATAGATTAAGCATTATTCAAAATGTAGTACCCCATTTGGAATTGTACTCACCTATATTAAGTTTCTAGGGATTATTTGTGTCCCAGAGCGGTAATCGCACCTATTTTGAAAACCCCAACCGAGTAAAAACTTATTTCTTGAAATCTTTACCTAAATCGTAGTTTAAATATTCAATAATTAAACTAAATATTCTATGTTGTCAGACTTAAACCCGATAAATAAACCATGCGAGAGAATTTAAAAAATTTATGTCATATGTTATCTATCACTTAACAATCAAAACCTTTTAGTTGGTTGCTTAATATAAATTGATATCTGGTTAAAATCAAAGGAAATCCCTTCTTTTTCTCTAATATTTAATAGCCAGTTTTGACCATAAATCTTCTCTCTATTTGAAGTTAACCAAGTACTTCTTAATAAATAAACTTACAAGCTTTTATTAAATTTATTATTATTTTGATTTTGACTTATAAGATGTTGTGCCTCATAAGAAGAAGATATTTTTCAAATCATCACATGAACACCAGATGTGTAAATAAATATGAGCCAGGTTAATTTTATAAGCATAACCAAATACATGAACACCAAGTACTTCTTAATAAATAAACTTGCAATTTAATTTTATAAAAATGTAGATTTTCCTTTCAATAAAAAAGTGTTTCATTATATATACATTAGTCATATGAACTTCTTTTTTCTTTTGCAAAATATTCAAAATTATAATTTATTTAGTAAATGCAGTAAATATCATACCACTAAATTTCTTCTAGGGGGTGTTTGGTTAAGGGATTTGGTTGAGATTGATAGGGAAATGATAGATGGGCATCTAAGTTAACCATGTTTGCTTGAAGGTTTTTTCACATTTATCCATCTAACTCAGTTTCCTACATAAGCTAGATGCATATGTTTTCTGTCCATTTAGCCGGCCAAATTTATCCTATGGGCAGTGTGGTATTCAAGGAAAGTTGCCTAATTGCTCAGAGTGAATTCTAAACAAAACACAAGTCTACCCTGACTTTGCGCGTGAAAGGAAAATGGCAATCATGTGGAATATCCGTGTTACAACCCCAGGCTCCTTCTCCAGAAGTGCTTTCACAACCTCCACATGACCATTTCTCGCAGCAGAATGCAAAGCTGTGTGCAGCTGTGTGCTTGTAATAGATATTCTAGCAATGGTAACCAAGCTACTATCTGCTTGTAATAGAAATTTCACTATCTCAATATACCCTTGTGTTGCAGCTGTGGTGTTGGATGGATCAATAGTCATTGACAATTCAGGATGAGCCTCCATTAGGATCTTCAGTACATCTGCAACAAGGAAAACAGAACTCTTAATCCAAGAGGTGCGATAATATCCACTGTGGTAGAAAGAAGATGAAAGGGGTGCTCCTGCTATGGAGTTCTCTATGCTTCAACAAACTCTCTACACCCTCTCTTCCTTCTCTCTCCTTTCAAACCAGACCCTTCAAGCTCTCAATATCAGCTACTGTGGAATCCACTAATACCCAAAAACTCAGAGCGAAAGAGAGAAGGCGCTTGAAAGACGAGGGTTATTTTTGTAATATTATATTTTTTTCCTATCTATATTTTACCTACAACCAAACATAGATTTTATAAATGTTACCTAATTTCTCCGGTAAAATTTTTTACAACCAAACAACTTTTTTTACATTTTCCTATCAAACTCACTTCTCCCCCATTTTCCTATCAATAACATTTCCCTATTATTCTTAAAATTTCTCCTAAACCAAACACCCCCCGAGGACTTGTATGGGAGTTATTTAAAAGGATGTTTGGTAAGAGGAGTATTCTCAGGATTTCGTTTTATGCGTATTATCTAAAAATCAAAATACTGCCAAAGAATATCATCCTGAGGATGATTTTCAAGAATCTCATAGAAAACTATGGATTAATTTTTCAGATAAAAAACACCAAACATAATATCAAAAAAATTAATTCAACATTCTTGAAAATATTTTGCCCTAACAATAATTTTTTTATAATATTTTAAGAAAATTTATTTTTCGATCATATTTCTAAAAATCATCATTCTAGATAAAAAAAAATTGTCCCCTATAAAAAGAAAAGAAAAGAAGGAAGGTAAAAAATTTAGCTATGTCTTCTCTATTTGTGAGTTAAAAAAAGGGTTTTATAAGAGTTATGTTGTAGGAATAGTGATTGTGTTATGTTATAGAGATTTATTTTATGTGTTGAAATTTTTTTTTTTTTTTTGCTGCGGGTTCCACAAATGTTATGTGTGTAGGAAATATTTTATGTCGTTTTAAATGTTAAATGATAGATTTAACACAAAAAACAAGAGAACATAATTGGACATTCTTTGTAAAATTCTTACGAAATCTTCTCATCCTTAATCAAAGTTCTTATCCGCCCGTTCCCTTGCATTAAAATCAAAACCCTCACTCTCTCTGTCCAATTTCCTCTCCCACTTCTAACCATTCCGTATGTGCACACTTGCGGATTAGGGTTCGTTGGCATTAACCTAAACTTTTCTTTCTCTTTTTCTACTCTTTCTCGCTAACCAAACACTTGATTAGTTGCTTCATTACTTGGTATCTTTGATTTTGTGTTATTCTAATGCATTTTTTTAAAAAAATTTATGCACAAATAAATGTTCCGAAGCTCATTTTTTTTTTTGCTGATTTGATTGCTCAGTGTTAGCAATTGGGGGAAGCAACGTCGAAGTGGATTTACCCAGCACTGCACGGGTTCGTCGCTGAAGAAAAAGGTTTGATTTTCTTAGCCGTATATGCTGAATATTCGTTCTTATAATGCTTATTTGGTGCTTGTTTTCGGTAGTTGCTTTTTTTTTTTTTTTGTACAAAATGGGTTTTTTTATTAGTATGTTAATCCCTTTTAAATCATGTAAATTGTGGCGCATCGATCTGATACTTGAGAGTGTGTGCCCACAAACTGTTTGATGTATGGTCTGAATCATGGAGAGTGATAACTTGATATCGCCTTTATATTCATTTTCAGTTACCAATAATTTTCTGGTGTGGTTTTGTTTAATAAACTGTTTTATCTTAAACTGAAGTCATTGAAGACTATAGAACTAAGAAAGTTCAGGACTTTTTCTCTGTTTTTCTTTGTTCTTTAACTTTCATTAGTCCACCCTTTTTTTTTTCAAATTAATGCTTTTAGTAGGTGCCCAACAGCCAAAAGCAGAGGTTTTAATTGAAGCTCAGTATCAAGCGCAAATTTTGAAACATTATAGGGGTTTTAATAGCTGAATTAAGACCAACCTCGTCATCTTCTTCTGTTCACATATGTTCTTTCAATTGAAGTTGTCTCTTTATTGCCATTTTCTAAAGCATGCTGGTTTGCAACTTTTCTTCTTTCCATAGTGATTAGTATAATGCAAGCCTAACCTAAACTCTTTACTCATCCCATCCTTTATACTAAAGATATTTCATAATGATCCATATTCATTTGACACACGGCCATACATAAGGAAAGCTTGACTTTCCAAAGGAATAATGAGAATGTTTTAAGTCTTAATAGTCTTCCACAAAAGATAATATGACTTAGGTTCTTCCTTCAGCACAAAGCTTACCATCAAATACTAGATTCAGGATATTGTGTGTATGTATACCTACTCTTTAATGTAGTTAAATGAGACAAGGACTTGATATGACTTTTAAGAGGGGAAGGGAAGGAGGGGGAAGGTTTTAGTTATGCCTTCCCATTTTTTGCTAGTTTAAAAAAATGGGGGAAGAGAATTGAGAATATTTCTAAAATCCTTCTCACCCTTAAAATTAAAGTTCCCCCAATTTAGGGAGTATGGAAGAGTAAATATAAAAAATTACTTATATGCCCTTATCAAATCAAAACCCCAGCTCTCTCTATCCAATTTTCTCTCTGTCTTCGAACCATTCGCACAAGGTAAACTACTCTCGAACTTTCCTCCTTCTATTTGGTTCCTGAGAAAATCTTACCCACACTACAATGCAGCAATGCTAATTTTCTACATTCTCCTTTTGCCTGTTGATTTTCTCTCCAATCTCACTAACACAAGGTTTTCTTAAATCCGAACGCAGGGTAACCTCGTTCAGTTTTGAGCTTGCCCAGAATACGATTCTTTTGTCGATTCTGATCTCTGGGTTTTAGAAACTTTTTTTCTTTTTTATGCTTTTATGATGATGAATTTGTGTTAAATGGTTTTGAAATTAGGTGTTTCGATAAATAGGGTTTGGAGCAGTTGAAGTATGTGAAGGAAGCTTCATTTGGACCCGGTTTGCCAGTTAACACAGTCTTCATTGTGGGAAAATTGATAGCTGAGGAAAAGGACTTGCGAGGTTTGCTTGTATTTCCTGTTTGTTGTAGTTGACATTGCAACTATTATTATGTCTATTATACATTCAGAACTTTTTGCATGCTCCTCTTGAAATTTCTTTGAGTATGAACTCTGCTTGTGCTCTGTAACATGAAAGATAGCCATTCTCTTCATTCATATATTTCAGTCCTTGTGCTAGTGGCAATCCATCGCTTGCCCTTCCAACTATAGTTACCTTAACCATTTACTATGGATTGGTTCTCTTTTCTGAAAGATTTCAACGAGATAGATGGATTTATAAGGCCTTTTTATAGAGTATGTGCGGTGAAGGAATGGCTCAGAGAACTTAGAGAAGAAGTTATTCCTAGTGTGTGCAAAAGTAACCATTATGGGAGGAGAAAAGATAAAAGGGTGGCAAAAGCTATAAAAGATAAACCCCTTCAACACAAGAAGAATATGCATTTCCCTTCTTTGGAAACTTTTTCCTTCTTTTCAATTGTTATGGTCCTGTGGAAAATTGTTTACTTTTTGGTTTTTCAGTTTTTGGTGCTAGATGAGTATTGTGATTTGGACACCAAAATCATGGTGCAATGTTTATGCCATTCTAATTCTTGCTAAGGATAAATCTGTTTTTTCTGCACTGTGAACTCCAGTGGGAATATAAGTTACAAATACCTATGCAGATCAGCAGTGCAGTGTATTATAGTATTCAATAACATGTATACAAATAATAAAAAAATTATGAGTTTGGTTTGGTATGAAAAAATTAAGTAAGAAAACTAAAATCTTATGTCATATTCACATCTATATTCCTTAAAACTTAAACACAAAAAAAAAATTAAATTATTAGTTCTTTAATATTTTGTAGTACAAACCCTCTCTCTTTTCAGTAGATGGTGTGGAGGTCTGTACAATTTGCTCTTTAAAATGTTGAAAACTCCTCTCCGTGTCTTCTTTTTTCATCTATTTAGGAAGTTATAACCGACAACGTTCTGTACTCTTTCTAGCATGTTCTAAAGGCACCATCTTCTGGCAATGTGCATGGGCTTCGAGTTACAGTGGGTGAACAGGTTTCTGATGGCATTGTTCTTTTCAATGTAAAGGTTAGTTAATTGCCTTTTCTATTCTTCACGTAGGCCATAGCCTGATTGTACTAGCAATATTAATAGCACTTTTATATTTCAGTACATCATTTCATTTTATGCTCTGTTTTGATGTTTACTTCTTTGTGCGGGTATAATTTATAATACTGAGGGTCTGCTTGTTTGAATAGGTAAAAAATGAGAAAGATGGAAAATTGAAAATGTACTTAGATGTTAATACAAATGAAAATGACAATGTATCTGCACTTTATGTTTGAATACATCAATTTTTTCCCCTCATTCTTATTTCCACCTATTCAAACAAGCTTACCTTTGGTGCATAAAGTATGTTCCTTCAGCAACATCTATTTGCTGAACTATCATTTTCTTATTATTTTATTCTTTGACATTATACGTCTGTTAATGAAGTAACTTTCTTTAAGTTGACATAAAACAACTCAGATTAGTATGTTAGATTTTTTCTACTAATTTTATCTAGAAAAATATGCAGATGGCACCAATTTGTAGGATTCACTAGTGCAGGAGAGAGTATTTCAATGGCTAAGGACCTCTTTTGGGCATCAGAATTATTTTCTATTTGACCTTCGTGGAGTGGATGTAGAACGGGTGTTAACTTGGTTGGAAGGATTAGGTGAAGTTAGAGCAAATGTTAAAGAGTTGACTCTGAAATTGGAAGTTGGAGGCAGTGCAGTGAATTTAAAAGGGGAACTGTCTCTGTCCAAAACCTCAGCATCATTAAAATAATGTTTTGGGCTCTTAGAAATGAGGGGCAGCAAGCTACTGCACTGGGGTGGAAAGGGTTAGAGGAGGTATTGGAGGAGTTAGAGAATTTTTGGAGGGGACCTAAATACCACCACAAAGGAGGCAAGACCATTCTATAATACTGCAATAGGGAGCACAAGCATCCAACATACGTCCTTAGTGTTATCCACATTATCAGAAAAATGGGATTGAAATGATGGTTAGGGAGATGTTGACTGCTGGAATCATATGGCCTAGTATTAGCCCTTTCGCTAGTCCAGTTCTCTTAGAAAGAAAGATGGGAGGGGGGGTGTTTTTTTTTTTTTTTGGTTAATAGATATAGTAGAGATCAGCAGTCCCATTTAGGCTAGGGGAAAGCAGATTGTGGCTGAACAAGAAGAAATACAGTTTTGGGCTAGGGTGTCAAGGCTGATCCAGCTAAAATTCTGGATATATTAAATTGGCCCGTGCCTATTTATGCAAAGGGATTGAGAGGTTTCTTGGGATTAACTAGGTATTGTAGAAAATTCATTACCAATTATAAAAAAAATGCAATGTCCCCTTTCTCAGCTGTGGGACTTTTGTAACCATTACATTACCTGTCTCCAGTCACGCTTGGAAAGATGTCTCCATGGATCATGGATTTTATTGGACAGTCACCTAAGGCTTTTGAGGCGGATACTGTGTTTTTAGTTGTTGATTAGCTGACTAAATATGTACACTTAATTGCTCTCAACCACATTTTCAATGGCAAGGATATATCTGTGTTATTTATAAAGAAAGTAGTTAGATTACACTGTTTTCCATCTTCATTTGTATCAGACAGAGATAAGATTTTTCTTGGATAAAAAATTCAAGAAAAAGATGCGTATACGCATCTTTGTTTTTGCCTACTTTAGTAATCCACACTTACAATTTTGATCTTCATCTTGATTTTGAACTAGTTATTAGTAATATGGATTCAATCTACTGTTTATTTCTTATGACTAAACATGGAAAGCCCAGCACTAACACCTTGTAGTCTTATCCAGAATTTGCTATTGCATTCCAAGGTTGAAGCAGTATCAGAGACAAAAAACATTGTATCTGAATGGCAGCTTCAGCAAAAACTCTAACAATTGACAATTGCACTACAAATGGAGGCTGGACAGTTGTTTTACCCCGTCGTGGCAGACAAAGAAGAAAAGCTACCAAAGTTGGAATTTTGGAAGAAAAACTAGAATCATGGGCTCCAACAGATTCCCAGACAGATCCAAATAGAGAAACAACATTGGTGCAGAAAATAGAAAGATTTATAAATAGGATTGGGAGCTCTCAATTCTATCATACTTTCAGAGATCAAATTCAAACATCAGTTTGTGATTACTTCCAAAGGGTTTTGGGCTCAGAGATGAAGATGCAAATGGTCATTTATGGCATTGGGAGCGTTGAATTGTATGAGCCCCCTCGATTGCAACTTAGCCTTGCAATATTGATGAGAAGAGATTTCAGTTGGGTTGGAAACATAGAAGTATTTGATCCTATTCTTTCTGTAACCGAGTCTCGGGTTTTGGAAGCTCTTGGTTGCTCTGTCATGTCCATAAATGAGCATGGGAGGCGAGAGGCTCTAAAGCCAACATTGTTCTTCATGCCTCACTGTGAAGCAGAATTATATAACAACCTGTTGCAGGCAAATTGGAAACTGAATCTCTTAAGAAACATGGTATTATTTGGGAATAGCTTTGAAACATACGAGCAGCATGTGTCAGTATGTAAGAACTCACCTATTGTCAACTCAGTGGGGCATATTTTGGCTGTTCGAAGATTCACAAATGAATTTAGAATCGAAACAGTTTCAGATGATTATTATAATGCATTTCACGATTCAAGTTGGCATTTTTTCAGCCCTGTCCATGAGATAGAGCTGCAATTTATCAATTCTTGATGGAGCATATTAGATGAGCATAGATTCATTTGAAGGGATGTATTCCGGTATCAATGTTTGGTTGTACACCACTTTGGCTTGTTATTGATCAAGAAAATGCTGGAACTGTTACCCTCTATTCATTTGAAGGGATGTATTCCGGTATCAATATTTGGTTGTACACCACTTTGGCTTGTTATTGATCAAGAAAATGCTGGAACTGTTACCCTCTCATGTCTTTTTCTTTTTTCTTAATATCATGAAGAATTGTTTCTGTCTTGAGATTTGGCTGTTGCCTAACAACAGTATAAGAAGAGTTGGTGTCATTTGTTTTGGAGACCTCTGCTATCTCTATAATTCAATTTGGCTGATGCTTTAACAAATTATTTGGATGGGATGATCTCATAATTAGCATAACTGAGTAGGCCACACACAACTATAAAAGACAATTCCTTTTTCAAGCAGCAAGCAACTCAGTCACAATTTCTGTTTCATCATATGATTGGAAGCAATCACTTGGTTTGCAAAGGAAGAAAGGGCTATTAATAGACTTGATTACTTGAAATCGTTAGTACAAATTGCACTAATCAATTGAAATAAAACTGCATTATAGACTTGGATCCACTTCCATCCCTCCAATTTATAGCCCTTTCTTTCTTTCTTATGTTTTTTGATACATTAAGGAAATAAAAGAGAGACTAACTCTCACAAATCTATCTGGGAAAGAGGCAGACAACCAGTAGGAGGCGTATTGAACTCTTGAAGATTCGGTCAGGCGGTCATAGTTGACAGTTGTTATGCATGAGTTGCTACATCTATTTCCTTCCTTATAGGTATGGGAAAGAGTGACACTATAGCTATGCTTGAGAGCACTGTGAATCCTTTTAATAATATCCCTTTCTTTCCAAGTTTAATATATTTAAGTATTAATTTAGCCATTAATCAATGGGAAAAGTATTTCTCTTGTTATAAAAAGATAAAATTATCTCATTCTACTTTAAAATAATATCGTTTTGGGATTTAGAAAAAAAAATGTAGGATATTTTTATAATTTTACTTTCCTTTTGTATAATGTATTTTATTAAAATATTCTGTATTTTTTGTTCAAACCACAAAATGAGTGAAATAGCAAACTTTGTAAATTAGTGTAAAATAGTTCAACAATAAGACAAATTAACTTATTTCAACCTTTAAAAAATTTCTTTGAACACAATGTTTATTGTAGTATAGACAATTGTGCCATGATCATCAATACTGGAAATGAAGTTGATGTGTCAACGAATGAGTTTACATGATGTTTTTAATGTTTTCCTTTCATTGCAGTGAACTTCTTAACCAATTGAACCATGAAGTGTAACAATTACCCAGCAGGAAGCTCGTATTTGTGCCTTATAAATTAGATTGGCACCACAATTAATAGGAAGAAAGAACACAGAGGAAATGTACAGTAGAAAAACAATGACAGTATTACATGTTTTTTCTATAATTTGATTTCATTAATTTTGCAACCAAAATTCCAATCTTAATAGTTGACATTTAAGATGAGTCGCCCATATCCAAGTTGAGCGTTTTGAATCTGCATTCTCCAACTTGAGGGAGAGTATTAGAGGAACAAACACTATTTTAAAAATATATTGCATTTAATGTATACATAATTATAGGAATATAATTAGTTGTCAGCATAATTAGCTAGTATGTTAATATTCTGTATTGAATACAATTAGTTGTCAGCATGATTAGCTAATATGATAATATTCTGCATTGAATAAAATTAGTTGTCGTATAATTATAGGATTAGAATGTATGAAAGACAGTTAATAGTTTACATTTGAAAACAAAGGGACACTTCCATATTTTTTATATAATTTAATTTAATTAATTAATTTGCCAACAAATATTTCTATAATGTTTTTCTCTTTCTCCCCTACTGTATAAGGGCAGTTATTGTGGCACAACTGAGCCTGATTAGTTTACATCTGAAAATGAAATGACACTTCAATATTTTTCTATAATTTGGTTTAATTAATTAATTTGCCAACAACATTTTCTATAATATTTTATCTTTCTCCCCACATTGTATAAGGGCAGTTACTATGGCACAATTGAGCCTGATTAGTTTACGTCTGAAACGAAGGGACAATCCATATTTTTTCTATAAATTGGTTTAATTAATTTTGCTAACAAAATTCCAATCTTAGTAGCTGTCATTTAAGATGAGCCGCCCATAGTGTGCTATCCAAGTTGGGCATTTTGAATCTGCATGCTCTAATTTTAGTGGGAGTTTAGACGAACAAACAATGTTTTAGAAATATTCTGCATTTAATGTATACGTAATTATAGAAATAAAAAGGATACTAATATTTTAATCAAATCACATATAATTAGAACATACAGAATAAATTAGAACAGAAAGATTTGATGATAACAAAAAGTTTTTTACATGACCAGTATACAACCATCCCAAAATTCATAATCATGTAGACCCTGAAAGACTAACTAAGTGCAACTAACTTCTAACAAGTTCCGTATCTTTAGCTAGTTAGTTTTAACTTACCATTCAGTTAGCCTTGAGTCTTGTATATATATTGGTTAACTCAATGTAATTCATTAAGGAATTGATATCTCAGTTTATTCAATATACACCTTCGTTCTGTTCTCACTTTTCTCTAAATCTTTCTTTCTTCTTTCCTTTGTATCTGATACCTTACATGGTATCAGAGCTTCCTTTTTTTTATCCATGGAAACCAACGCTTCTGCAACAGAGACTCAACCAACAGAAACTCAACCCGTTCAACCTGCTCAGAATTCTGCAGACAGTCCCAATGCTGTGTCACAATCTGCACTTCTCACCTTCTCCAATCCAGTGTCATTCAAATTGGATGAAGGTAACTTTCTTCCTTGGAAACAGCAAGCCATGGCAACAATTAGAGGGTTCAATCTGCAGAGGTTCATCACCAATGAAGCAGATCAATCTTCACAACAAGATCAGTTGCTAATGTCTTGGCTTCTTGCATCTATGTCTGAATCCTTACATACAAGGATGGTTGGGTGTCAATCCTCTTATCAAGTCTGGATCAAGCTAGAGGAATTCTTCACCTCTCAAACTCGATCCAAGGTAAAGCAATTGAAAATTCAGCTAAAGAACATCAAGAAAGACTCTATTGTCTCAAACTACATACTTCAGATCAAGAAAATAGTCGACTCGTTAGCAGCTACAGGTGCTTCAATTACTCCAGAAGATCACATCGATGCAATTCTTGATGGTCTTGGTGAAGAATATGATGCATTCATCACATCTGTCATTTCAAGATCTGATCCATACTCTGTAAGTGAAATAGAGGCTCTTCTTATGGCTCAAGAAGAACATCTGGAAAAACACAGAAAAACTGATGTTGGCCTGATGCAAGCCAATCTGGCTCAAATGAATGTTAGAAAGCCTTATGGATCACATGTTGGGAGGTATCCTTCACACTTCAATAGAGGAGGTCGCTTCAATAATTTTAGAGGCAGATATGGCAGATATGGAGGGAGAACACACAATCAGCAGCATAGTGGAAGACCTCAATGCCAGCTATGTGGCAAACCTGGCCATACAGCATGGGAATGCTACAACAGGTTCAATCAGGGATTTCCAAATCCTTTCAATAGTAGGTCAGAACATGGTGAATCTTCACTTCCAAACTTGCAAGCAAATGTTGCAATCACTGGAAACAGTCCATCTGCTCATCAAGATGACAACACCTCTGAATTCTATTCAGTCTTTGATCCAACGTGGTATCCTGATTCAGGAGCTTCGAACCACTTCACTCCTGATGCATCAAACTTGTTGTCAAAGACTACATACAAAGGTTCAGATACAGTTCAAATAGGTAATGGATTAGGTATGAAAATTCAGCATGTTGGTAATTCAATTTTACAATCCTCTTCCAATTCTTTATCCTTTTCTTTACCTAATTTGTTCCATGTACCTGGTCTTTCGAAGAACCTCCTAAGTGTATCACAATTTGCCAAGGATAATCATGTTTTCTTTGAATTCCATGCTAATAATTGTTTTGTGAAATCTCAGGCTACCAAGGAGATTGTTCTCTAAGGAAAGCTTAAAGATGGTCTTTATGCCTTTGATGGAGCAAATTCAATAAAGTCTTTCAAGCACTCAGCTTATCAAGTGCAAACTGCAGATCAGTCCATACACAATAAATGTCATTCTGATTCTGGTTCTGTATTAGAACTATGGCATAGCAGATTAGGTCATTCTTCCTTTTCAACTATAAAATCTGTACTTTCTCATTGTAAAATTCCATTCAATAATACAAAACCATCTTTGTGTTGTGCATGTTGTATGGGAAAAATGCATCAGCTCCCTTTTACTACCTCTAACACTGTCTATCACACACCACTCGAATTGGTTTATACAGATATTTGGGGTCCAGCTCCCATAGATAACACAAATGGCTCCAAATACTATATATGCTTTGTTGATGCCTTTAGCAAATATACATGGCTATATCCTATGAAGTCCAGATCACAAGTGCACTCTATATTTCCTCATTTCAAAACAATGGCAGAAGTTCAACTCAATACAAAACTGAAATGCTTGCAGACTGATAATGCCAAAGAGTATCTTGCTCTCAAACCTTTTCTTCAAACCAATGGAATTGTTCATCGACTCACATGTCCCTATATCCACCAACAGAATGGTACCCCTGAAAGAAAGCATCGCCACATTGTTGAAATGAGATTACCCATGTTAGCAGCCTCTCATTTGCCAAAGAAATATTGGGAGGATGCCTTCATTTCTGCCTCTGTCATAATAAATCTCCTACCTTCCTCCAGTCTTCAAAATAAATCTCCATGTAAGGTTCTGTTTAATAAGGAACCAGATTACTCCTTCCTAAGAATATTTGGTTGTAGGTGGTATCCATATCTAAGACCATACAATTCCCATAAAATGGACTATAGGTCTGCACCAAGTACCTTTTTAGGCTATAATCCTTCATACAAAGGATATAAATGCCTTACACCATCAGGTAAAGTCATTTACTCACGTCATGTGTTGTTTGATGAACAACAGTTTCCATTTAATCATCCACCTTTATCCACAGTACCTTCCACAGTACCTACTTCCTCTATATCTACTCACATGTCAGTTCCTTGTATTCCCACTGTTGCACCTCTAATGTCTTCGAATATCACACATGCTAAACTATCTACTAACTCTATTTCCAATGATACTGTATCAGCTACTGTACCAGCTATTCACACTTTTTCAACTACTGCACCTGTTACTGACCTTAATTGCAGGTCCCCATGTGCCTCATTTATTGCATCAACTACATCTCC